CATTTCTTAAATAGCAAAAGAAGAGGTAAGGTGAATTATATGGCAGTAAAACTGGATATGGCAAAAGCTTATGACAGGGTGGAATGGGGATTCATTGCTAGAGTTTGTAGGAAAATGGGGTTCTGTGATATCTTTATCTCTTGGGTTTTGTCTTGTGTGTGTTCAGCTACTTACTCTTTCAATATAGATGGTATTCATTTGGGTTTCATTCAACCAACTAGAGGGCTGAGACAAGGAGATCCATTGTCTCCTTATCTGTTCATATTAGTGTCTGAAGCTTTCTCTTCCTTGATTCATCAAGCTTCTTGTTTTGGGCAGTTCCATGGGATTAGAATAGGACCTATGCTCCTAGTATATCCCACATGTTATTTGCTGATGATTCCATGATCTTCTGTAAAGCTGATATTCATCATGTTAATATCCTTACTTCTATTTTGTCTAATTATGGCCATGATTCAGGGCGGTTAGTGAATTTTGACAAGTCTTCCATTTTCTTTTCTAAAAATATGCCAGAGGAGTCATGTCAGTCTATTTGCAGTGCTTTGTCTGGGATCTCAAGAGTGTATTCTGCCAAATACCTAGGGTTACCTTTAGGGATTGGTAGAAACAAGAGGGAGACCTTCAGTTTTTTGAGTGAGTGTGCAAAACAGAATTAGAAATTGGAAAAACAAGTTTTTGAGTGAGAGTGGGAAAGAGATATTGATCAAAGCTGTTTTAAATGCTCTTCCTACTTACATAATGTCATGTTTCAAAGTTCCTATAAGCATTGTTAAGCAATTGTGTTAGGATATTGCTAATTTTTGGTGGGGTCAGAATGAGAGAGGTGGTAATAGGATTCACTGGGCTGGGTGGGATAGATTAGTAAGGGATAAGGATAAGGGAGGATTGGGTTTTACAGATCTCACAACATTTAATGATGCTCTGTTGGTTAAACAACTGTGGAGATTTATCACTCAACCCAATTTGTTAGTTAGCCAGCTTATTAAAGGAAAATATTTTTGGCAGACTAGTATTTTTGAGGTAAATTCCAAACCTCAAGATTCTTGGATGTGGAAAAGTCTCTTTGGTGTTAGGAAGTTTCTGGAGCTGGGGGTTAGGTTTAGAGTGGGTGATGGGGCTAGTATTTCTATTTGGGATTCTCCATGGATTCCTACTAATCCTCCTTTTAAACATGTTTGCCAGTTTTCTGATGACAGGCATAGATTAGTTAAGGTTAGGGATTTGTTGAGAGAGGGTAGTAGAGAGTGGGATAGGGATCTTATCTTTCAAATTTTGAGCCTGTGATTGCAGAGATTATTTCTAGAATCCCATTGTCTATTGCTGGTGGTCCTGATAGACTTATTTGGCACTGGCATCCAAAGGGAGAGTTTTCAGTCAAAGAAGTTTATAAGGCAATTATGCAAAGGAAAAGTAAGGAGCAGGAGTGGGCAAGTTCAAGCAGAGATCCATTGCTTATGGTTAAGATGTGGAA